GTGCTTCTGTCTTTAGGCGCATGCAGATGAACTCCTCCACCAGCTCCAGGGTTTTGGAGTCGACCTGAGGAGGCTGCCTCCCGGACTGCACCAGGTTACAGATGTAGATGTCCAGGTGATACAGCAGCTCCTTGGCTGCACTGAGCACATCGCGAGGCAGCAACGACTGACGGATGTCACCCATCACCACCTTTCACAGACCAAAACAAAGGTTGCAAAAAAAAAAAAAATGTACGGACTCCATTGTAAGAGAATGTGTAGTGTTCAAAACTGTCTCATAAAGATGATAAAAATGTCTTAATGGTGAATTAAATGTCATTTTCATCAATAAACTGTATGCAGCATGGGAAAATGAAGTAGGTTTGTCTTTACGAGTCTTAAAATGCTTTGATGAGGATGCTCAGATGCATCTAAACGCAAACAAAGCACCTCTGTTTATATTTCACTGTTTATGAATCAAGCAAAACAGCAATGCATAGGAAACCGATACACATGACCAACTTTAATGTTACATGTCTTTATCTCAGTCTTTTTTATTCATGGGCTCACAGGTTAAACACTTTTCAAGTGGAGCAGCTTCAGTCGGTCTCCTCCATCCTGACACACTTAGCGTTAGCGAGCTTAGCTAAAAATACTATTTACTTTTCTTCACTACAACTTTCATGTGCGTCACTTATAATCACAGTGGACACTCAAAGAAAACACGTGTTTTATCACGCTCTCACCTCTTAAAAAACGAGCTCTTGATACTCTTAATAAATGAGTTGGTTACAGGACAAGTAGATCTCCAAACGACAACGGGACCACTTCCGGTGTTTCTACGGAGCCTTGTGAAGGACAGAACACCTGCCATTGACTTCTCCTGAGGAATCAGCGCATGTGCTGTTTGGCCAATGTCAACAAAGATAAAGATTCATCTTTAGTTTTACTGGAAGTTATTTTAACCTCTATGACATTTTAAGGTTTTCAAAACTAAATTAATAACATTGATGGTCAACTCACAATTCATTATTTTGCTATAAAAAAAATATTGTTGGCTTTAAATAGAATTCAATGTGCAGACTCTGTATATTTACATTTTATATTAATAACATTGATGGTCAACTCACAATTCATTATTTTGCTATAAAAAAAATATTGTTGGCTTTAAATAGAATTCAATGTGCAGACTCTGTATATTTACATTTTATATTAATAACATTGATGGTCAACTCACAATTCATTATTTTGCTATAAAAAAAATATTGTTGGCTTTAAATAGAATTCAATGTGCAGACTCTGTATATTTACATTTTATATTGACGTTTTCTACATGAGAAATTGATAGGCCTAATATAAATAAACTCCTTTTCCCCACAGGGACCCATGTTTGTGTATATGATATGATATATATCATTTACATGATGTTATACTATTTAATATGCTATTATTTATATTATATTGCAATAAACTATATACAAAAGTAGCCTGAGTTTAGGTGATAAGAAAACCTCGTTGTCCATTCCTTAAGGCCTAACAATATATTGACTATCATTTGTAGGTAGCATATAAATATTCAATGTGCAATCCCTGTTTTTAATATGAATTTTCCTTAGGATGCTTATTTGTGCCAATTACAGTCCTGTTACGTGGAGTTTATTATGCGGCCAGGAGAGCACCCCTTGACTTGTCAAGTCATCATGTTATAACCTTTTAACCTTATAACAACTTTTTGTTATATAACAAACGGACCCAAATAATATAGACCTTATCAAATATTGCATACTGTTGCAAAGCTATATTTTTGTGATTTACAATATTTTTAGTAGGCTATATTTTTCATATTTTCGACACAGTAATCCTTTATAATCTAGGCGCGCGCCTGTTAGGCTCGTGGAGAAAAAAGGAAACAGTGGTGCACTCAGTGTCGCGCGCTCCCGACAGCACTTCGCTCTTGCACTTTCTGCCGTCCCGCCGACTGATTCCAAGCAGCCCGCAAGATGACCATCAACACCCTGGCTAAAGAGGGCTGGAACCGGGAGCAAATGGCGTGCTTTCGAAAGGTAATACTGACTCACTCTGCCTCATTTCTTTTTTTTTTATATATATATTGTGTGACATATTATATTGAAGATGTGAGCATGATTCCGAAAAATAAACACACATGAACACAACCCAGGATAAATCAAGTTATAAAAAGGAAGAATTTTTCAAATCTGTCCTGTTCTTTTGAACGTATGACTTTGTATGTGTGTTTAAAGTGTTTTTTTTTTTTTTTTTTACTGTGTGTCTGCAAGCAGGTGTGTGCATCTCTGTGTGTGACTTCATGTATGTCTTTTTGCGTGTGTGTGTGTGTGTTCTCTGACAGATGGAGAAAGTGATTGTGGCCATGCAGGACCCTGACATGGGCATGAAGATGAGAAACCAAAGGCTCCTTATTACAGTCATACCACACGCCATGACAGGTGTGTGTGTTTGTGTGTGTGCCTGCATGTCAGTGTGCATCAGCATCTGCGTGGACTTGCACTTTGCAGCCAGTGTTTGAGTCCCAGAGGTCATGCATAATGCAGCAGTGGACTTGGGAGAAGACTGTGTGCTTTGCAGAGTAGAGTGAAAAACTTTGTCTATTTTTCTTGTCTCTTCTCTAACTCTGGCTCTCTTTTCTTCAGGCCGGGATGTAATTGACTGGCTGATGCAGAAATACAATATCGGGGAGGAGGGTAAGCAGCTTTATCGATGTATAAATTACATGTAGAGAGAGAGAGAGAGGGAGAGAGAGAGACTATTTGCTGTGATTCTCTTCCTCAGTGTGACTGGTTTGTTGTGTGGTTGCTAGTGTGTTGCCAGGATATGGAGCTTTCTCTCGAGCTGACGTGGTAGTGATGTGTTTGTGAGTGTATTATGGGGGATGCTGTTTCCAGTAAACAAGAACTGGGGTCAGCCTCAGAGGATCCCAGTTTGATTAACTCACCTGATGATCTGCGTTTGATTAATGTCCCTGTGGAGTTTAGCACCTCAGGATACTTTGCCGCACTTGAATTAGAAGTTGGAAAAAAGGAGTCTGATGGTCCCTGTGGCCTCAGAGCAGACTAAAAGGAGGAAGGAGAGAAGTCAGTCAGGGAGGGGTAGAGAGACAGAGAGAGAGAGAGAGAGAGAGAGGGCGAGAGATTGTGTGTGTGGTAAGAGCTGATTAAAATGCATCGCACAGCTTTTTTTGGAAGCTGTCAGTCATTAAAGTAGGGCTCTTAAACAAATGAGGAGGGACTAAAGATTGATTATGCTTTCATCCCTGGAACAAAGTGTTGTTTTGAGAGCGACTGCTGACAGGGTGCATTTTTTTTTTTTAAATAAAATGTATGACTCATTTTGGTGCACAGTATTTTATACTTATTTTATTCCCTGATGCCAAAATATTACTTATTCTTCCTGTCGGGTATGAGAGCCCTAACCAATAGCTTCTTCTTTGGACAGTCATAAATAAAACCCTCATTCATATGTTTCTAACTCAGCATAGCTTAGTGTAACTTGTCAACCATCAAGAATAACTTGTTTATTTTTTCAAATCTTCCAATTACATTTTGTCCTACCAGGTAATAATTTATTATTTTGAGTATATCTCAACAAAAGTGTGACAAAAACATCTGTATATATATATATATATATATATATATATGGAAAACACTGTTCCTCCCATTTAATTGGCTTTTCAAAGGTTACACAGTCTTATAATGCTGCTCTTCTCAGTTATCGCTAAATGGTAATGTACTTTAAATAAAATAATGAACCAATCATTTTTGATCATTTAAGCATCAAAAAGTAAAAGGCTAATAAAAGCTCAGTTATTAAACTTTACATATCACATCTAACCCTTGCAAGATTATTTACATAGCCCAATCATTAATCCACCATGAGAAAACAGTGGCAAAGTAAAAAAAAAAAAATCCTTTTAGCAGGCAGAAACCTCAAGCAGAGCCAGAGTCATTGGTGGATGGGCATCTTCCATCAGCTGCTGGGCCTCAGAAGTGGGAAAGGGTAGAAAAAGAGAGAAAAGGAGAACAAGTTAACTTTAGTTGGACTTATAAATGATGTTATACAATCATTGCATGGATAGTCATCCTTGTGACTACACGTTGCCACATTCTCGCTGCATTTAAGACATTTGAGCACTAATGACATCAAACACCAGTTTACTGGAGCCTTGTTCTTTTGTTCGCTTGAATAAGAAATCCAGATTAAACTTGAATTTTACAGCCCTGACAACCACCTTGTTAAACTTAAATGTTTGATCCTTGTGTGTGTTTTTTAACAGAGGCACTTCACATTGGTAACATGCTGGTGAAATACGGATATATTTACCCCCTAAAGGAGCCCAGATCCCTTGTTTTAAGGCCTGATGAGTCGCCTTACCGCTTCCAGGTAAGTTTCTCATGCAGTAAATCCACTCTGTCTACTCACTCTCCCTCTTCTCGGATTTAAAAAACAAAAACACTTTGGACTTTTAGTCACTTTCTCTCTATCACTGTCCATCTCCCTTTCTCACTCTCACTCCATTAGCCCACCCCCTAATCCCCCATCCATCTGCCACTCTGCTGCCACTTTTCCATCAGCTGCTGCAGCACTATCAATTTATATCATTAATGACTGAATATGAAAACTGCTTTTCTCAGACTCCTTACTTCTGGACTAGTACCCGCTGGCCTGCCTCAGAGCTGGACTATGGTAAGGCAATGCCAACAACAAAGTGAAGGGTGAAGGTTAATAACATGCCTATTTCAGTACAAAGAGGGCTTGTTATGTAATATCCATTCAATTTCAAGATTAGGCATCATGTTTCCATCTTTTGTGACATGATTAAATGTGACAAACTATCTATAATTCTAAGCAAGAAAGCTTTTACGTAAAATACAGCTGTACTTGCGATTGTCCTGATAAGAGTAAGAATGACTTTTAGGTAATAAGACACAGATTAGAGCTAAAATCTTTAAAAATAAACATTTTTTCGTCTTATTTCTTGTTAGCAATCTACTTGGCTAAAAAGAATATAAGAAAACAAGGAGAACTGATGGAATATGAAAAGGTAAGCAAATGTGTCTTTCTAAATAAAGAGCGAGTGAGTGTGTACATGTGTTATGAATTTCCCAGTGGTAAGTGTGCAGGCCCATGGCGTTATTCTACATTTTCTCAATTCTTACCGCAGTGTTCTTCCTTCCTCCCCTCTCTCTCTTTTTAGGAGCGGTACAGTGTGTTGCACAAGAGGATCAACCACACCTGGGACTTTGTGGTGATGCAAGCCAGAGAGCAACTCAGGTGAACTCGCACACACATCCAGCCACACAAACTCACACACATATCCTCCGCACACACACAAACTTACAGTGTGATTCATGTTTAGAGCATCCAAACAGAGGAGGAAGGCGGACCGCATTGTTCTTGAGTGTCAGGAGCAGGCCTACTGGCTCATCAACAGAGCCCCGGTATGTTCACTACAACTCTGCTCTAGTCTGTATTATATTAGCAAACTATGCTATACTGTATTATACTGTATTATACTGTATTATACTGTATTATACTGTATTATACTGTATTATACTGTACTACACTAAAAGTAGTTTGAACATTCAGGAATACTGAAAATAAACTACCATGTACACAGTTCACATACAAGTTGAACATCTTATTGCCCCATGTAAGTTCTCTATATTCTTGCACATCAGTATCTGAAAGGGTATTATAATATGATAGATAATAGTATAATATTGCAGGAGTGGTTGTGTGTGTCATTATGATCTACTGGGAGCAGACTTGGTTAAAGAGTCTTACTGCAGCAGGCAGGAAGGACCTGTGGTTTCCTCCTTTACACACAGGTAGCACAGCCTATCACTGATGGAGTTGCTCAGTGCTGTTACTGTACCGTGCAGTGGGTTGTGAAATGTTCTTCATGAAGGATGACAGCTTTGCCATCATTCACCTGTCCCCAACGCTTCACAAGTTCGTCCAGACTGTTCTGTTTGCAGCCATGATGCTCCAGCAGACCACTCTGTACAGGATGGCTGATGCCACCACAGAGTCATAAATAGTCCTCACGAGTGTTTCCTGAACTCTGAAGGACCTGAATCTCCTCAGCAGATGGAGTCTGCTCCGGCCGTTCTCATAAAGTGTGTTGAAGTTGTCAGTTTAGTCTCCTTGGATGTTCACGGGTGTGGTATGACTGTGACTGCGAAAATCCAGCACCAGTTCTTGGATTTTACCTGCCTTGTTGTGGAGGCAGTTCCACTGGCACCAGTCCACAAAATCCTGGTTCAGTTCTCTGTACTCCCCCTTGGCTGATACGCGAACTGCAGCGGGTCCATTGATTAGCTCGCCAGGGTGCGCAGATGGTAAAGGACCAACATCTCCAGGGTCTTCATCAGGTTGGATGTCAGTACCACCAGCCTGTAATGGTTGAAGTCATTGGGTCGTGAGGTCTTGGGCTCCGGTACCGCGTAAGGGTGTGTTCCGAGGCTGTGGTAATCTCCCCAGCTTCAGGCTCATGTTGAAAATGTCCCCCATAACCCAGCAAAACTGGTCTACGCAGGATTTGTGCAGCCTGGAGCTGATGCCATCCAAATCAAGCCTTTTTGACTTTTAGCCCCCTCTGTTCTCTGTTCCTCTGGGCTGTTGAAAGGGCAAGTTTGAGCAGGGGGACTGTGTGCTGGTAGTGGTGGATGTAGGAGGAGCAGTGAGTTTGTAGGGGGATGTGAGGGTGCTGTAGGGTGCAGTCAGCAAGGGGGTTGTGGGGTCAGACAGTGGTGGTTGCATCAGGAGGGAATGGGTAGGGCAGGGGTCATCAACTACATTTGTACAAGGGCCATCTTTTTTTCTTGACAGACACTGGTGAGGGCCGGACTTTAAAATATGCTCGCACGTAAGCGTGACAGCTGTCAACCCCGGTATGAAGAAGTTGGTGTCGCTTATATTTTTGATTTTACTTGTATGTTTATTGTTTTAATCCCTCGAGATAATTTATATCCTTGATGCAAATTATACATTACTAAACTATACTATATAATACCATACCACATTACTCTACACTACTCTGTGGTAGGTTGAAGATCAAATGGCCTTGGATTTACTCGTGTATGTTCCCTTGAAGAGGAAAAAACGTCCAAAAAACTGATAAAACAAATTCCTTTAGTCCACAGTTTTGTTAAATAATCTTACAGGATGTTCAAAGTCAAGTTCTCCTAATTAACAAACTACACTATGGTGAGGAAACGATGTGGCTCGATCCTTAATTGATCCTCAACTGCCTGAATCACTTCTTACCCTCCCACAGCACTAAAGAGCTCTCTCTCTCTCCTCAGCAGTGAGGTAACCTACCTCACTGCTCTAACAGTAATACCATACTGTTTTCAACTTTACAGAACATCCATCTTAAATCCACATGAATTCAATCAAAATACTTTTAAGTGACTTTTAACATATTTTATACCTGAACTTATAATGAAATCCTAAAATAAAAGATTAACTTTCAAACAAAACCACAGACTGCTTATTTATGTACTTTAACATGTATGAATGTAACTTGGCTCCTACATATACACCATGTTTTGCTATGCTAAACAATACTTTTCTGAACTCTGTTACAAACTACAGAAATATATTTAACAGTATTTAAAACATTTAGATGTCCCACCAATGTTCACTCGCAGTCCCTTCTGCCTCCTCCATGAAATATTCAACCCATCTGGTAAAAGCTGCAGCTTTCAACAGAAAAAACAGAGAGAGGGAGAGAGAGAGCAAGAGAAACAGAGAGAGGGAGAGAGAAAGAGAGAGCAGGAGAAACGGAGAGGGAGAGAGAAACAGAGAGCAGGAGAAACAGAGAGGAGAGAGAAAGAGAGAGAGGGAGCAGGAGAAACAGAGAGGGAGAGAGAAAGAGAGGGAGGGAGCAGGAGAAACACAGAGAGAGAGAGAGAGAGAGAGAGGGAGCAGGAGAAACAGAGAGGGAGAGAGAAAGAGAGAGCAGGAGAAAAAGAGAGAGGGAGAGAGAAAGAGTGAGCAAGAGAAAAAGAGAGAGGGAGAGAGAAAGAGTGAGCAAGAGAAAAGAGAGAGGGAGAGAGAAAGAGTGAGCAAGAGAGAGGGGGAGAGAGAGATAGGGAGAGGGAGAGAGAAATAGAAAAAGAGAAACAGAGAGAAACAGAGAGAAACAGAGAAAGGGAGAGATGAATAGAAAGAAAGAGAAACAGAGAGAGGGAGAGAGAAATAGAGAGCAGGAGAAACAGAGAGAAAATGTATATCACATTTCACCTTTTTAGTAGCCTCTTAACACTACAAGTCCATCTGATACTTAGAAAGAGAGAGAGAGAGAGAGAGCATGATGGGAAAAGAAGGAAATACAAGATGAAGTGGAGCAGTACTGAAGAGGGACATGGAGGAGAAGGAGGAGAAGGGGAGGGTTTGGAGGAGGGACTCCATCTTGTCTTGCTCTTATGAATTAGGGACATGGATATGGAGAAAAAGAAAGGAACATGAGAATAAAAGCCAGAGCTAGTGGAGTGGAAGGATAAGTGCTTACTAAAACGCACGCAGACACACACACACACACACACACACACACACACACACACACACACACACACTATATCTATATATATATACAATATGTTCACACCCTAAATGACAAACACACTGTAGCTATAGTTGTAAGAGCACTAATGTGTGTGTATTGTTTTCAGCCTGGGGCACAGAATGTGTTGGACATGGGTCTGGAGAGACCAAATAACTTCAGCTCACGAGTGACTCTGGTTAGTGACATCATCGCATTTCTTTACTTTCTCTTTCATCGGTCTTACCTCTCTAAAAAATAAATATGATACGATGACATGTCTTAAATCCATATTTTCTCCCTTTTTTAAATTTCTTGCTGCTGGGATTTTTCAAAGTAAGTGGACACGTGAGCTGTGCTTTATGTGCTAAGTTTCAGTATAATAATATTTTTGTTACAAGTGTAAATGCTGATTCAGAAGGATCAGCAATATCATTTACACATGGAGGGTCAATATTTGAGTCATTGCCAAAAACATTCTTACAAGCTGTAAAAAAATATATCTTCAGGGATTATGAAATATATACATCTCCAGAAAAAAGGCGACCAGTGCAAACTGGTTAAGAAAAACAGAGGATCGCATATTTGTACGACTGCGAGTTCCTTCTCCTTTTTAAGCAATATAAACATTTTAACTTAGGAAGAGTTTTTCAAGTTGTCTCTTAAAAAAATGAAGAAACCAAAAGTAGCATAACCTACAACCTGAAAGCAATGTGAACGACTAGTGGAGGGTATGTTAAGAAGCATGAACGCTCTTATTCAAAATCAGTTATACCACCAAATGTTGATTTGTGAACTCTTCACATGTTTATAAATGAGTGCTGTGTTGTTTGAAAATGATTAAGAACTTGTTTTTGTTGTATTATTCTCAGTCTGAAACACACTGCATCTTTATGGTTTCTCAACCAGTTGTAATTTTTTGAAAATATTTTATCTGGAGGTTTGGAGCGTTTTTCATTTTATTCCAACACAAACCCATAAACAGTTCAACCTGAGAAAAAAATATTTTTGAGATGGTCTCTTATTTGCTGTATCACAAGCACATATTGTCCCACAGTTCAGAATACATCCTGCTTTAATATTTGAAGCCATTGTTTGTGTAGGTGAACACACAGACATGTGGGGAATGTCTTATGTGACTGATATAACTGTATGAATGTGTAATGCAGTCATTGTGTGACCTAAAGTGATACCTTTGTGTTTCTCTCCACAGAACTAGAACAGCGACTACTACAAAAGTGAGGTATGCATAACTACCATTTGAAGTCAGAGACTGTATAAAAGCTAACGTTGTGTGTGTTTACATCTGTTTTTTTTTCTTTCTTTCTTTATAGATTGAAACTTGTAAAAGGGCCCTTGGAAGAAATCGTGTAAAGTCATCCATCTGCCTCGAAGGGTATGTGTCACTTCTATGAATGCACACATACAGACACACACACATGCACACGGGGACTAATGGACTTGATGCTGCCTTAACTGAACTCTACGTCTTTGTACGAACACACACACACACACACACTCACTCACATGCACACAAGGCTTAGTGCTCCCACTATAAGAGCCACTAATGGATGCTTCCCGATGCAACTTGGAATTACTGGCCATTTACTGTTATGATCTGCAGCTCTAATACAATAGTACTGTGTGTATGTGTGTGCATGCCTCTGCATTTGTGTGTGGATACACAGTTTTGTGAAATACAGCGAGCAATACCTGAACCACGACCCCATTATGCAAGGCTGTCTTCCCAGCAACCCGTGGATCTCTGACGACACAGCGCACTGGACAATGAACACCGAAACGTGAGAATACACACCGATACAAACACACGCATAACAAATTCACAACGGCAGCCACTAAATTAGTGAAAGTTTAACCACTTTCAGCTTTTGTGGCATACTATCAATACGTTAAAAGTTATCATGGCAGTTCGTTATTTGTGCGTCTGTGTACCTAGTTGATGTTTGTGTTGATGTTGTGTTTCTGTGAGCAGGGTGACTATACCGACACGTCTACGAGTGGAGCGGTGGAGCTTCAGCTTCATGAAGCTTCTTAATGACTCCTTGGGGAGGCAAGAGTTCATGACATACCTGGAGAAAGAGTTCAGTGGTAAGCAGAAGTGTCACACATTGTCAAACATTTGTTGCCCCTAGGAGAATTTGCCTTGAACCGAGAGCATAAAAACACAATACAAGTGACATAAGACTATAAAACCATATACAGGGCAGCACATAAAAACAAAACCGTTAAAAAAAATCTGAAAAACGTACAAGGAATGTTTTTACATCAGACACAAACATACTCCAAGTCACAACAATGAACAGATCTGACTTGAGTGGTCAAACATCCATAATTAAGGTCCCTGGACAAACGTACTCATGAATGAATATGCTAGCTAATCATAACTTTTCACAAATATTTAATGGGACAATATTATGAAGTGAAGACATTTTATATCCTAAAGTTTAAAAAAATATCCCCCCCAAAAAATCTTTAGACCATTTTCCTGTCCCATTATTGCAATTGTGATATCTCATGAACAGCAGGAAGGAATACTTAAAATACGCCATCAACTGTCCAATCGGACTCAACAATGATTCTATTTTGTTGGTGAACAGTCCCTAACCTAACATGTGGAGGGATTTTTGTTAAATTTATATTTTTCCACAATCGATTTGTGGATGTATTGGCAAAGAAGATCAGTTGAATTACACGGTGAGCTGTGAGGATGAACAAAGTACTGTAGTTAAGAAAGGAGAAGGGTGCGATCAAGTCTGACATGAACAGCTGACGAAGGTTGAGGACACAATGCAGAAAGTCATCCCTGCTGACATGTGAATTACTGCCACGGCGTAAGGTTTTCCAGAGAGGGCAGCCATACAATAGAAAGTTTCTAGTGTGCATCATTTTTGTTTTATGCACCTGCATTCATACCTTGTTATTTGCCTGTCTTCCAGGGGAGAACTTGTGTTTCTGGCAGGCCTGTGAGGACGTCAGACATGGAGAAAGTTCCAAGATCATCGAGAAGGTGGAAGAGATCTACAAGTAAGCGTACTTACGCACACATAAATGCACTCACTTATGAGTACGATCAGATGACAGCTCATCTTTCTGTGTGTGTGAATCAGGACTTTCCTGGCTCCAGGAGCTGCCCGTTGGGTCAACATCGACAGCAAGACGATGGATAAAACTCTAGAAGGGATCAGACGCCCTCATCGTTTTGTCATGGACGACGCACAAATGCACATCTACTTTCTAATGAAGAAGGTCGGAACTCTTCGATCCACAGAGGATCGGGGGGGGGGGGGGGAGGGGCTTAAGTAGTCTTTTAAAGAGACCAATTTGAATGGTGCCTAATGTCTGATGTGGTGCTTTGTAAGGACTCCATTTGCAGCATTTTGTGTTAGCTTTAGTTTGTCCATTGTCTTTTAAAGCAGACCAGTGATGTCGGCATTGTCAAACTAATAACAGGTGAAGTGTTTACCAGCCAGTCACAAGAGCCTTCTTTTGAGATGATAAAAAAGGTTTTTTATAATAGTGATGCGGCTCAGACAAAACCGACTCAAGAATATTAACAGGGTAATTCCTCCAGGGACGATTAGAGCACCAACTACATAATTTTTCTTTCCTCTTTTGATAGACATTAAATTGTTTATGTATTTGATAGATTCAATCAGGGTTTTGATTTCTAGGAGCCAATAGGTATAATTCAGTGTCATCAGCATAATGCGGTTCCATATTATTAATACCCTGTATGCAATATAAACTAAACAGCAGTGGGCCATGTATTGCCTCCTGAGGGACACCATATGTCAACTTTTCTGTTCCTAGGGCCACAAAATGAAAACAACAAAAGGAACTCGATACACTTTATTTGGTCAAAACATACATCCTCTGCTAGTTAGATGTAGACTTTCTTTATTTCTGGTCCAGAAACTAAACTTTTATGCTAAGCTGATGGTAATAACACCACGGGTGGGTTGGATTTTCTTTGATGCATTTGTGATTGTGCTTGTGTGAATAGGACTCTTACCCAAGATATCTGAAGTCTGACCTATACAAGAACATGCTGGCCAAAGCTATTGTACCCCAGGAGACAAAGAAAAGGTACAATTTATCACCATTTACCAGCTCTAATTAAGTACATTCCTTCTCTAAAATTGCACTTCATTTTCCCTCCTTCGCTCAGTGTGTTCCCCTTCATGAGACGCCAGCGACACGCAAGCCCCTCCCCTGCTCAGGTTGTCACTCATGGGGTGGAGGAGGACGGGCACGCCAAGGGAGGTGGCCAAGCAGGTACCAACTCTGGAGGCGGCTCCCATGTCTGATACTGGGATCAAACAAAATGGGACAGACTCATTCAGTCAAAACTGGTCGCAATAGCGAGAGTTCTGGTCAACTTTTAGTTATAGGTTAAGCTACCTTTTTCACCACTGCAACATTACCAGAGCTAGGACCTCAATGTAAGAGCCTCCTCTAAGAGCACAGGTGTTAATGCATACTTCAGCAGCATCACATCATATTTTTAGAGCATGAGCAGAGAGAAATACGATTTTAGAGCTACAGTTACAGCCTTTACTGCTGCATATTTATCTTTCATCTACATCCCATCTCAGTCCATAAAGTCTATCCTGTTGTTCTTGATATGGCCTCCAAAGTCTTCCTGTGTCCCTCAATAGCTTTTTATACTGAGCCAAGCCTACTATGATTCCTCTAATTATTAAAAGGTTGTTTATAGAGCTATAGAGTTGTAAAATATGTATGTGGTCAAACTTTGCCTCAGTTTTTGTGATATTTGCTTGTTTCTTCATTCCATGTCAAAGCCCCACAGTTTGATTGCTGTTACTTTAGCTTGAGCATGTTTTCATCCCAATAAAATGTCACAATAACATTCAATGTTTTGTTTTTTGTGTGTTAAGCTCTGCATGTTGCAGTAAAACTTAAGTCTATGTGGATCCGTGGTCTGGTTAATATTCCTTTTTTGGTTTTCTTGTTCGTATCTTCTCTGTCTGCTCCGTCTCTTTGTAGCCTTTGGGTCTATTTTTAACCACAGATCTTTTTCATAGTTTATTTCAATATTAATTGAACCCCCGAATGCACACTGAGGGTTTAAGAATTTAGGAAATCAAATGATCAAAGGCTTGTGAAAAAAAAAGGTTTTCAGTTTTTAAATTTCATCATCACTTGAACTGGTAACAGAAGGTTACAGACCTTCAGTAACTCATGCTAAAACAGCTTTCTGAAGCATAAAATCATCTTCTACTTGTATAAAACATCAGCTCAGGTGTCCTATAAAGCCATATATCTGTTGCTCTGCTCTCTGTCTCTTCCACATCTTTAGGTAAAAATATCTCCTTGCATATTTTCTCTCAGGGCTTTATTTATTCATCTGCATCCCTGCATCTATCCTGTAATAGCTGCAGGTTCTTTGACTGGCTCCCTCTCCTGGCTGTATGCTGTCAAGTAGCACAAGAACTTCTTGAACTAACCTTGGAAAAGGTTCATAATAAGTGCTAAGCATATCAACATAAGTTTGGATTTTTCTTTTCCTAAGAGGGCTGACGAGGGGAAATCAGAATTATAAAAGTTAAAACAGTAAGGAATGAAAGATGATTTTTTTAAAAAGAGCTGCCGCAGTGTAGGTGTCAGATGAAGTGATTAACATTACGCTGCAGAAGTTAGCCCTATTTTTTTTTTTACATTTTCCTCAGCAAAGACTCTAGATGATGACACATCTGAATGTCAAAACAAAGCAGGATGAGATTTTTGTAAAAGAAAAAGATACTTACAGTTCACAGGAAGAAATCAGCAAGGACAAGAGGTGTGGCTTTGTTTGCAGAGGGCGCCACAATCAACACAAACCAACCGTTCCTCAAAGAAGCTTTAATGTCATTCTGTGAAGAAGACAAGAGAAGATGTTATTTTGTTGATCATGACACACGTCAGAATGAACTTTCAGTAATAAATGTTTTTTGTCTATGAAGGACATGTTTTCACCACTATTTCCAACGAGCCTCTCTTTGAGGTGTGAAGTCCAGAAAATTACATTTTGTTTTCAGACAAATCAGTCTGTGAAAACAAGTTAAAATATTTTAAAGTACCTGTTTTTAAAATGTAGGGAATTTAGCTCTAACAAAAACACTTACATGTGGTAAATGCTTTACATTAGGGATCAAAAAGTCAGGATATTTCAGTGTTTGCTGTTATTCCACCATCAGAATGACAATGAGCAGTTGGCCTTGATGTTGTGATTGGAGCACTGGTGTGTGACAGCTGTGTTCAACCTGAGTGCTCATCAAATTCACTAATGGAGGATAGCTTCATACAAGCAAATAAATCACACACACACAGGTTTAAATGTGTATTTCTACACGGGGAGCACTTTCTATATTTCCCAGGATTACGATAATCCTCTTCCCTCCACTCCCCCGTCCTCTCTTGCCTAGATCGTGTGTTGGAGTGCTTGACTAAAGACACACTGTATCATTCCATATAAAAAAACAAACGATGAAACATTCCTCTTTACACAAGATTTATTTTATTGATTTTTTTAAGAGATTGAAAAGTAGCTGTGCAGCACAAGAAGCATTTTTCATCCTTAAATATTGAGATCTACAGTTTGTATGTAGTGGTGATAACATGAAGTGAGCACTAAAGGAAGTTCTTCACATTCACAAAGACACAAGAAAACAATTCAAACAACAACAGGAAGGCTTTGTTAGGGTGACAGAGGCGTTCAATTTGAACCTGTGCAAAATCACAATGATAAATCATATTCATATGAGTCCCTTTAAAAACACAACAAAAAGACATAAATTAGAATTCCTTAAATTAAATAAAGTGAATGAAGTATTCTGGTGAAAGAGACTAAGCACAGTCATACAGTACGTACAGATGAGGAGGAGGCACTGGACACAGTAATGTGAATTATTTACATTCATTAATTGCACATTCATGCATACTTGGGCTATGTACAGTTCATAGTGAATCTGTTTCTGAATCATAAAAGCAGGGCCCGGCTGATACAGGATTTTCGGGCCGATACAGATATTGGGAGAAAAAAAACATTTGATACCGATATATCAACCCATATCTTTCTTAGATCTATGTTCGATCTTTAAACAGACTTAACGTGGGAACAGTTTTAGAAAAAAAAAGAAACACATGAAATAAGAGGACAGACGGTTAAAAAAAAAGAAGGAAATAAAAAATCTGTCTGGATCAGAAGCACCCTGTTTACCAAGAACAACACTTTCATATGTTCACTTTAATTATATAGACCTGATTGAAAGCCAATGATTTAAAGCTGGCCTTAATATCTATTCCACAGACACATGGAGCAATGTCCAGAAGCTGATGTGAAACATGGGGGGGAGGGCAGACAGGAAAAAGTTCTTCCCTCAGAAAAATGAGATCTGCACGTTTAGAAGATGAAGACATTTGAGAAGAGTTCCTCTGATGATGAAGGCCGCATTCAATGATTTTTAAGTTCCAGAAAATGGATCTTGAGTTTAAGTGTTCTGTCAACTTTTCTAATGTTGTAATTCAACCCTTCAGATTATAACTTTTTCAAAACTAGTTTTCACTTTTTGCAGGCCTGTGGAATTAACAAAAGACAAAAATACAAAAGAATAAGGAGTGTATACATGAACTATAAATATATTATACTTTATCAGAAGACTTTATAATAGGCTGGATATAAAGATTTACAAGTGTTCCACAAAGTGCTTAATATTCCCTGTTTAGTTATGCATCTTCTCTTCTAAAAATGTTTATACCCAATATGTACAAACTGTTGGTCATGAGGTCAATGGTCAGGTAGTTTTCTTCCCCAAACAGGTGAGACAGATTGCCTTGGAGCGTTCAGCAGCTTTGACTCACGTTAAATGGGGAATTTGTGTGTGTGTGTGTGTGTGTGTGTGTGTGTGTGTGTGTGGTGTGTGTGTGTGTGTGTGTGTGTGTGTGTGTGTGTGTGTGTTTAAGAAAGTCTGCAGGCTGCTTTATTAAGCCAATTTCCCATTTTTAGAGATATTTTTTAAATTCAGTTTTAAAACTTTATAACAAAGGTAGACCTAAGAGAATGTAGGTCTCCAGTTGATGTAAAAAGAGTCTGGCCTCTGTTACTACCTCTGAAGATGGTACAGAGGTGGGATCACTTCCTCCCCCCATTACGCCTTCAGATTGAAGACAAAATGTTATAGGGGCATAAACATCACGGCGTGAAACGGCAGTCTGAAAAGGGCTAGTTTGTCGTTTTCTGTTGTGTAAATGTCTTTTTCTTGCTGTATAACAATCATCATCTGGTCACTTTTCTTCCTTACAGCATCTCTTCTTCTTCTACTATGTCACAGTGTACAGTTCATCCTTGCTGCTCTCACAGAGCGTGTACCCGCAGACCCGGGGTCTCCAACTCCAGCTCCAGGTCCAGCTCCAGCCTCTGCTCCACCCTAACGCCTCCCTGTTCTTCTCCTTGGGCGGCAGCAAGAATACAACGCAGCTCGCCACCAGGATGTGCCAAAGCGAGTGCGTGTAGAAGTAGTTGTCCTCTGTCTCGGCAAAAATGTACAAACACACACCGATTAGGGCGCAGAGCGCTCCGGGGATCAGGTAGAGGACCCAGCGCTGCCAGGACGGAGGGTAGCAATGCCGGCGTCGCACGCCTCTGTACACCTGAAAATAAAAGGCACAGCGTGAGGGTTAACTGTTTGAGTTACACGGGAAGGTTGTCAAACTTTGGAAAGACACAGAGCGGACACACAGCACCTTCCTGCAGGGCTGTGTGGAGGTGTGGAGCACTTTGTTATAACTGCTATAAAACAATTAGAAATAACATTTCATTTTTGCTGAATCACCACTTTGCTCTCTCTCTCTCTCTCTCTCTCTCTCTCTCTCTCTCTCTCTCTCTCTCTCTCTCTCTCTCTCTCTCTCTCTCTCTCTCTCTCTCTCTCTCTCTCTCTCTCTCTCTCTCTCTCTCTCTCTCTCTCTCTCTCTCTCTCTCTCTCTCTCTCTCTCCACTTCATCTCTAGGATGCTTGATTCACGCGTCTTTCCCTGTTTTGCTTCAACCTTTATCGATTCTTACCAAACGTCGTATCCAAAAAAGGATTGGAGCATTGATACCTTGACAAACCCAATTTGGTCATCAATATTTGTTTCTTGTGTCCATTTTGACTTCTATTTGTTTTTAATAGTGTCCCTGTAGTGTTGTGGTCTGAGTCTTACCCAAGCAGAGACCATGAACAGGATGGCACAGAGGACTGGACCAAGCAGGTTCCACAGACCTTTACGGTCCAGCTGCATTGACATGGCAATCAGCAGCGCTCCCAGCATGAACAGAGTCTGTTTCAAGAGAACATCAAATCAATCTTTTGTACTTTAAATAACGTAATGTATCCTCAGTAACGTCTGATAGGAGTACAGTACAACAACAACAACAAGTAGTAGTGAGGGTCTCACGTATTTGAATGTGTCTCTGATACGAGCCATGCACAGGATGGTGACCCAGATAGAGCAGACGGACCCCAGGAAGTCACAGTACTGCAGGGTATCGTAGTCCATTATACACATCACAGCTACACCTGGCTGGTCACATGCATGGTAGAACTACAAAAGGACAAGAGAAGGAAAAAAAAAATCTCAGAAGAGGAATCACTCTCTTCTGGAGGTGGAACTCCAGTGATGTTACATTTTCTTTCATGACAAGAGACAAACATACAGGTGATTCCATTGTGACTCATTTGGCAGTATATTCTTTAAATCTGCTCATGACAGATGTGGAAAACATCCGTCTCAGATGTTAAAAGAAATCTGATACAGATGTTTTGGTAATGTAGTTGGATTAATCTGATTTTTTATAAACAAAAATATATTTTTTTATTTTAAGGGCTATTTCGAACA